CATATTTCTCTTCCATCTTCCTTGCCAGTATCATCCATAGTATAATACATACATACCATTATCCACAGAAAAACTCTCCAGCACCATACATTAGTCATTTCCATAAGAAGGATACATTCAATATAACCATGCGAGCAGTCCGATACCACGGCCGAGGCGATATCCGAGTTGAGGAGATCCAGGAACCCGGGTCGTGCGGGGTGGGTGAGGTGAAGGTTTGTCTTACTTACTATCTTGTTCATTTCATTAGCTATTATTTGGCTATATATCTGGTAGTATTATAATAATACCCTTGTTGTGTTGGGTTTTGCATGATCTATTATCTTAACTCTACTGACTTGGTACACTCTTATTGATATAATATGATAAACTAATATTGTTGATACTAGATCAGACCTGCTTTCGTGGGTATATGTGGTAGTGGTACGTTCGACACCTACATTTACTCACTATGTTATTCGGCACTTAGCAACACAGACTGATAAAAACGAAAGACATCCACGAATACCTCCACGGCCCGTCGACCATCCCGAGCAATACGCACCCCATAACGGGGGAGAAGATCCCCGTGACACTAGGTCACGAGTTCAGCGGGACTGTTATAGAAGTAGGGGACGGAGTCACTCGTCTCCATGTGGGGGATAATGTGGCTATTAAGCCGAATCTGTTTGATGGCGGGTGTGCGGCTTGTCTCGGGGGTTGGGTGAATTGTTGTGATAATTTGGGGTTTGTGGGGTTTAGTGGTATGTTCTATCATTCTTTCTCTTTTCTTGTTATGGTGGCTGGTGTAGAGTGGTGTCTATTTGAAGATTGGCTGATTATGTGCAGGTAGTGCTGGGGGATTGTCGGATTATGTTGTTGTCAAGGAGGATAGGGCTGTGAGGTTGCCGGACGGGTTTGAGTTGGACCTTGGGGGTGAGTTGATCATCTCTTACTATTCGATATGGGATATGGTGCTGATTGTGTAGCGCTGGTTGAGCCGTTGACTGTGGCATGGCATGCAGTCAATCGATCTTCTATTCAGAATGATCATGCTCGTACGGCGCTGGTGGTGGGTGCTGGACCCATTGGACTTGCGGTACTTCTGGTTCTCAAGGCCCGTGGCGTGGAAAACATTGTCGTTGTGGAGGTCGCGTCGCAGCGGAGAGAGCTTGCCAGCTCTTTGGGTGCTACGCGTGTTATTGACCCCCGGACAGAGGATGTTGTGGCCACGGTGCGTGCAATGACGGGCAATGCCGGAGCTGATATAGCATTTGAATGCTCTGCTGTGCAAGCAGGACTGGATACCGCTTTGAAAGGGATCCGGGCACGGGGCACAATGACGATTCTTTCTCTCTGGAGCGACAAGCCAGCAATCGATGCATTTGACGTGGTACTAGGCGAGAAGCACGTGGTAGGGTCGGTGATATATGAAGACGGAGAATTCGAGGCCGTCATCGACGCTATGTGGTCAGGTACGTGACTGCCAGCCAGCCATGCTTGACCATTCACACGTTATACCGAAGCTGACTGAACACAGGCAAACTCAACCCTCGGGCCTTAATCACCAGTAAAATCCGCATGGAAGACATAGTCGAAAAAGGCTTCAAATCCTTAATCCACGGCCGAGACAACCAGATCAAGATCTTGGTGGACATTTCGGCATGAAAGTCCGAGACATCCAGGGCGAGTGGGACGAGTATTGATCAGCTGCGGCTGGCGGTGTGTTGCACGACGTGGTCCAAATCCAGATACGTGTGTTGTTACTTGCATTTTAGCCCGTGTTATACATGACAACATCCATACCATGCACATCTTCCCTCTCACCCGAGGATTGGCGTACTTCTTGAAGGCGCAGCACAGCCAGTTTTCTTGCAATGCCGAGACCAGCAGAAGCAGACGTGTCAGCAATGCCAAGGCACTTCTTAATCCGGGCACCCCGTGTCGTAGACTGGTCCGCCCGGGGAGGGGGGAATACGGCGCTAGTTATTGTGTTGTAGAATGGATCCCTGCAGTGTTGTCTCTCAGTATCCATGGGAAGAAGGAAGTCCTCTGGAGAGGAGGCGAAGCGAGGCGGGGGATTATACGCTACTGTACCTTTGACGTCCAACACGTGTGTGGAATAATGAATACGAGAGACTGAACAGGGATGGCAAGTGCAACCACGACAGCACGCTGTCCAGTCTTTCGGAACGGTTGGTGGTGCCAAGCAGTGCTATTCCCGCGCGACTCTGCCGGGGCGGGGTCGATTTCTCGTATAACCTCATCCATCCCCAAGTAGTTCGATGCAGGAGCAGCGTCCAGCGGGCAAACCCGTCCGTCAGACGTCAACTAGTTTGTTAACTAGTGAGATAGTTGGATGACTCCACTCCGCCTGATTCAGCGGGGATGGTTCACCCCGACGCCAGTTCGTTCTGGACAATTGGAGATGCCGGCCGGCCCTGTCAGTTCGTGCTATTCCCGATGGATAGTTAGTCGAATCGAGGTGTCATATATCCCAATATCTAGTAAGCTTAGTGTGTAGTTAGTAACAATGATCGGGATTTCGGCAATTAAAGGGGACTTCCTACTAGGAACTTACTGTAGTCTAGACCTCGTCGCCACTCCAACTATTGCCCCTAACACAGACACACAGCATAGTATCACACAATTAAGTAATATCGTCCCCTATTCAGTATTCCACCTTTAATATATTAAGCTATCAAGTAGTAGTGAATGACTTACCTCCGAGATCTCCCCACCCTTCACCTCGGAGATAACGCAACTCATCCTCATCTATCTATGTAGTATTCGTTCATCACGCGCACTTAAACCCTTCATCCTTGCTTACCCTTTTATTGTGTCCTTCCCTTCGACTCAAATTCAAACACAAGCACAAGCACAACGGACATATCCCAGTCATTAGTTACTTCTACTTAGTTCGGCTTAGTGTCTATACTAGTCTGCAGAAGGAACATGCGTTCGATCGCGCCACTTTGGGGTAAGTAAGCGGTAGTATGAGGAATCACGTCAAATGGTGCAAGATGGTTACGCGATAGTATCAAATGACTGAAGTAAGTTTTAGGCTAGTTAGTGGTATACGGTGTGTCTGGATGCACGGACGGGTCTAAAGAAGTACGTAGGTACTTGTGGGATATGGAATGGCAGTATGAATGGGTGGTGGATTTTATTTTATGTCTAACATTTCTAATCAAAGAGACCTTATGGTCAGGGATAATTGAATTATCATGAGTACCTCTGTTTTTATTTGAATCCCAACCGTGCTTGTTCAATATTCATGTTGCTGTTAATAGGATAGTCGGGTTGGCGACGTGGACGTCACTCCTCATAGCCGTAGATTTCGGACAATGAGAACAGAGGTGGTACACAGGTATGTCGTTTCGGAGAATAATCTATTGATTATTCATTCACACACTTAGTCCAGTTTATTAGCTGATGGATTGGTTACTCAAATACTAAGATGATGAGGTGATGAGTCAAGAAGTAGCAGTAACGCGAAGAAGAGTATGGAATTGAGACGATGTCTTCTACATGCATAAAGGGGCGTAACAGTGGCTGCCGTCGTCTGTATGCATGTCTCGCCTCCACTTAAGCCGACCTGCCTTTTGCCTTTCCTTCTTCCAACCTGTGCTAATTTAAGGAACAGAGAGAGAAGTGCAAGGGCTGGAAAATGAATCATTGCAAATTTTAACTCACGACTGTTACAGTTTGTTTGTCGGGAATAATGAATAATGATCACGATTATTAGTATGGTCTGATCATAAGTAGTAGAAGAGTACTTAGTGTAATAAGTATCTACCTGTGTTTCATCTTCCTTATAATGACGATTATAACAAGTGCATAAATCCTGACATTATTAACTGGTACCTAACACTGACACCATACCCAGACTTCCCCCATTCTATTAATAACCACACATAAGTATCCATTAACCTAAGACTAGACTACTACTACTAATTACTACCTAACCAACTAACTAACTAGTAAGTAAGTAAGTATCCATCGTCCAAGCTCTATCCATCATCTCCTTTTTCCTTTCAGGTTTTCTCAATCCGAAGAACCCAATTGTGTGGATACCCCCCGAATCCATCCTGACTTTCAATGGTACTACGGAGAACAGTCCTAGATTAGTACTGTTCTACTTTAGTTACCTCCTCTCCCCACCCACGGTTTCAAACTTCAGGCCTGGTTGGTTCTTGTCGCTTCTTTTTTTTCTTGCGCAGCATCTCTTATCCGCCGTGTGCCTGATTCTGGCTCTGGCGTTCAAAACTAACTAACTAACCATCCATTCTAAATCTAGTTACTTAGACTAACTAAGGTAACCCCCGATTAGCCCATCGGCTCCCGGCGCCTCGATCTGGTCGATTTCCTTGGTTCGGGACGGGGATCGAGTGCAAGTAAACTAATTTTTTTTTCTCCTCCTCTTGGGCCTCTTACTCGTATACGACCTTTTTTCTTTTTCTTTTTCATTTTTTTTTATTCTCTATTTTACCCCCTTTGTGTTTTGCTGGTGGTCAGCAATTTCTGCAATTCGTTAGTCCTGGGGGTTTTATTTCATTTTGATTATTATTACTATTATTATTATCGTCGCTGTGCTACTGCTAATACTTCTGCTACTGTAATTTGAGGCGAAAGGCTGTCGGTGGTTTCCTTGACCTACCTTACCTTGCTGGAGACTAACTTGCCGAAAAGTGCCCCATCATGCTCTGATCGGGATTTATCTAATGAACCCTGTTTGCTGATCGCTTAGAGGGGAACTAATCATCTTGTCTGTCTCTGTCTGTCTGACTGATTCCGTGATTCTTAAACTTCTGAGACCCTGTCGCCTGTCGTTTGCGATTTTGGGTTTCTCTTGTTCTTGTCTTTAACTTTTTTTTTTCTTGCGCCCTAAGCATGTTATAGCGCTGAGTTCGGCTCTACGCTGACATTGCTATTATTCTTGTTACCTACTTATCTACTACCCCCTTACCGTTGATATCTATTCTTGGACTTCTTGTTGGTTGTGCTGGCCAACCTTCGTCATGGGTACTCCACTTGTTGGTACCGCGATTATCACCGGCGCGAATGGATTGCTCGGCTCGGAGATAGCTGTCTCGATTGCCAAAGCGCAGCCTTTTGTTCACTTGCTGCTAGTGGCCCGCGATATCAGATCCGACAGCATCAAGGATGTGACGGACAGGATCCGTCTCATCGGACCCCGCTCCGTCGAGGTGGTTAAGGCAGACCTTGCCTGCTTCAACTCCGTCGTGAGCTTTTCCCAATACACCGTCGAGAGGGTGCGAAGTAAAGAGATCCCTCCCGTGATCTTGTTGATCAACTCTGCCGCAACTTCGTCATACGTTACCGATCAAGTCACACGAGATGGGTACGATCCCGTTTACCAGACCAACTGCATCGCGCCGTTCCTGTTGACCGTGAGCCTGCTCGAGGCCTTCCGCGCAGGCGACGGTACACCGAACGGTGGTGCTCGAGTAATCAATATCGGGTGCTCCTCCATATCCAAGGGATCCCTGGACTATTTTGACGGCGAAGACCCGGAGAGTGCCACCCAGCCGCCAGGAACACCAATTGGCGCCAAGGAAGCGACCAGTCGCTTCGGAAGTAGTAAGCTGCTAATGAGCGCGGCCATGTATGCCCTGCGTCGAAGTCTGGTACTTGTGAGTAGTCCTTCCCTACGGTTCCATAAGTACCCCACTAACAGAAGCCGAATGGGGTAGACGGGCAACATCTCGCTCAATGTATACACAATGGACCCCGGCGGTTTGACCGGAGAGAGCCACCTAACGACCGATGCCCCGTTATCGGTCCGAATGGCACACCAGACGCGGTCTGGACTCCGGCCATTCCTGCGGGTGTTTTCCAAGAGTGCGATAAACAAGGCTAGCGTTCCAGCCAAAGTTATTGCGAGAGTCGCATTTCAAAAGGAGACGGTGGAGAACTGGGGAAGGGAACGATATTATATCTTGGATAGCGAATACGAGGCCGCATCCGTCATTCCGGCCTTGCGGGATGTGCCGCGCATGGATATGCTGCTGCAGAAGATCATGCGCCAGATCGAGATAGGCGTCAAGGGCATGGGCTCTCCTCAATCAAGAGTCTCGCGGCTGACTGCTCGTTAGTTGGAAGCCTGGATTTACTTCTGACATCATCTCTTCTGTTCTGTGCCTTTTGCGTGGTGCTATCCCAAAATTAGGAGCATTTCTAGGGCGTTACTTCGAATCTTTGGTTGAACCTGGGTTTGCAGATAAGGAGTTTTTGGGACATGAAAATCCACATTTGCTGTATTTAGAAAATGAACTGTACAGGATCGATTAGCCGCCAATCAAGATGGATAACCACCGCAGCTGATCCGAAGATAATGGAACCGAGAAAAACGTGGAGTAAGAGAGGAGGGAGACGAGCAAGAGGGAGGTTGCATGGCTGCAAACGGTAGCAGGCCTGATGCCGGATTCGGATCTGGACCCGGAAGGCGGGCCACGCTTGGCGCCTCTTGCTCGTCGCCGCCTTGAGCCTACGTTCGGTCGACGCAATCAATGCTACCGTCAGACTTCGTTGTTCAATTCTCACGCTCGTTCGGTCCCTTGACTCCTTTTCGGTACCTTTTTATTAATCTCCTGGATCTGCGATCCGCTAACATTCTTCGTCGCCCGTGCCCACGTCGGTGTTGTTTTCTTACTCCCCCCGTAAGCGCATTCCAGGGATTCTTGAAGCTGGTGGTCATCGCTCCGGGATCTAGGAGCCCCGGAGGTTCTTTGCTTCAGGACCTGTTCCCTAGCTACATGCAATTGTAGGAGAGATGAACCGGCATCACGCCTTCTCGAATGGCTATGCTGCCTATCCTCGCGGCAAAGCCAGCCACAACACCTTTTCTATCTCTCCCCACCGGTAAGCGGCCCCTGCAACTGTCGAAGATCATCGCATACCATCACCATCTTCACATGAAATCGATTTCGCCGAAGGCCAATCGGTGGCCTCACATATCAGTCACCAAATTCGTTGTGCAGGAGGATGTTTTGACTGACATTGGTTTGCTAGCTTTCAACCGCGCCCCCAACCGGCTTTGCGACGTCGAAGACAGCTCCTCCAACGACTGTGCCTTATTGCCGCCATCTCAACGCTGCTTTTGATCCTCATTTTCCCTTCATTTCGAGCGTTATTCCTCCCCGCTGTCTCGCTTGGCCTTGTTTCCTCCGCGGAAGATCTACAATTAGAAACAGTCCGATACTATGACTTGTCTAAGATGCAGGGCAGTGGAAGTGGTTGGGAGCATGGAGAACGGGTACTCATGTGCACGCCCTTGAGGGATGCCGCGTCTCACCTGCCAATGTTCTTTTCGCATCTTCGCAACCTTACATACCCTCATAACCTGATTGATTTGGCATTTTTGGTTTCGGATTCCGAAGACGATACGATGGAAATGCTGTCATCGATGCTCGATGATCTGCAGAACGACGCCGATCCGAAGATGTCGTTCGGAGAGATCTCGGTCATCCAGAAGGATTTTGGTCAACAGGTTCAACAAGATGTGGAGAGTAGACACGGTTTTGCCGCCCAGGCAAGTCGCAGAAAGTTGATGGCTCAGGCACGAAACTGGCTGCTTAGCGCGACTCTGCGTCCGACGCACAGCTGGGTCTACTGGAGAGATGCAGACGTCTTGACGGCTCCTACTACGATTTTGGAGGACCTTATGAGACATGACAAGGATGTTATCGTTCCGAGTAAGTACTACGCGCGACCTCTGCTGTTGAGTTCTAACCTTGAGAATAGATGTTTGGCGTCCCCTGCCGGATTGGCTAGGTGGGGAACAACCGTACGATTTGAACTCCTGGCAGGAATCCGAAACCGCGCTGGCCCTTGCCGAAACTCTGGACGAGGATGCAGTCATTGTGGAGGGTTATGCCGAGTATGCAACGTGGAGACCTCACCTCGCGTATCTGCGTGACCCGTACGGGGATCCTGATATGGAGATGGAGCTTGATGGTGTGGGAGGTGTCAGTATTCTGGCAAAGGCCCGTGTCTTCCGGGCCGGTGTCCATTTCCCTGCCTTCAGTTTCGAGAAGCATGCCGAGACTGAAGGTTTCGGAAAGGTGAGACTTCAGACTCGTAAATTTATATGTAATATACTAACACTAAACAGATGGCGAGACGGATGGGCTTTTCGGTCATTGGCCTTCCGCACTACACGATTTGGCATCTTTATGAGCCGAGTGTGGATGACCTCCAACATATGGAGGAAATGGAGCAGGAGCGACTGGAACGTGAGAGAGAAGAACAAGAACAGGCTGAGCGTGCTGAGCGGGTTCAAACGCTGTTCAAGGACGCCAAGTCGCAGTGGGAGGACGATACTGCGAATATACAAGAAGCTATCGACAAGGAAGGGAAGAGCCAGGCGAGTGACTACTCGTCAGCATCAGATGCTGATAGCACAAAAGGCAGCGAAGAAGGTCCCGTGGCCCAGCCCGCTGCGAAAGAGCAGGGAAGTGCTGCGATCACACAGGAAGAGTCTACAAAAGAAAGAAAACAGGCGAAGCAATAGAGCAGTGATGCTTGGAGCTTCGAGGTCCAGTGATAGTCGAAACGAGCCACAAGAATTGGGTCAGGGAGTTTCCTCGAACAACGGCGCTGGAAACCTCACTATAGACTGACCATACAGCGCTGTGCTGGCCACAGGGCGACTTTCTTTGACTGGAACTACTGTTTCTGGATGGGCTCCTGTACTGTGTAAATGGTGTTGGGGACTATATTTGACATGGCTTTCCTTTGCTTCTACTTGATTGTCTGATCACACAAGAAACACATAATCTTGTTGATCTCTGTTATGGCTGAGATGATAGCTTTTAATTATGTACAGCATAGACCAATGATTTCTTATATTACATGAAATAATAGCCATCCCATCCGATGCTTTTCGTAATCAGATATTATGATGTAGATTTAAGTTGTGATTCCCACATCAGTTGCATGGCAAGTGCCGTTTGCAAATTAAGCGGTGGCCCGTGCATCCATCGATCTCGAAAAGCACGCGTACCGCGTCCAGAGCCCACCCGGAATGCTCTTCTGCACATCTACAATCCTCAGGAAGGGAACATAATCTAAGCGACTGCAACCCTTCCACAGGTCTTTATCTTTTGTCTGGAACGGAATTGAGGTCAAAGATGTCCACACAATCCGCCCAGAGCATCCTCTTCACCCACACGGCCCCGCAACAGGCCTTCCGATTACTCGAACTGCCACCAGATCTCGCAGAACTTCTTGCCTCCGACAATCCTCCAACGTACGTCTACAGCAACTCGATGCCAATCTCTACACCTCTTCCACCCAATTCAAGGAACGCCGAACTAATCAATTGAACCAACAGCCTCGAAATCAAATCCCCCACACCCACCACTGATTCCACCGATGCTCCCACCGACACCACCCGCGATTACATCAACCTCTGCACCCCAACCCAAACCTACCGCATTCGCCAAGTCCAGTCCTCCAACTCACTGCATGTCCTCCGTCCAAGTGACGATGGTATCCAGCGCGGCGACCTCGCCGTCATCGGCGCCACACAGGAAAACGACGAGCCCGTCCCCGACTTGAACCTCTCGGAGACAATGACTGCGATCGCGAAGTGCGGGTCCACGCTTGAACTACACACCCCGCAGGAGGGGTTCAATATTATCCCGATACTCGAGGGGTTGCTGAGAAAGTATGACTCTAGTGACGATATCTCGATGTCTACGGGGGACGGAGTGATGATGGTAGACTCTACGGACCGGAGGCAGATTGTTGAGAAGCTGTTTGCTGATGTTCCGGTGTCGAATCTGCAATGTGCGAGGGCCTGGAAGGATATTTGTGCGTTTGTATTACCTGCTACGGGCCGTGGGTGGGTGCCGACGGCGAGGGCCAAGGTTGGGGTGTGGAAGCGGGTGGTTGAGGGGGCTGTGTTGCAGGGGATTGATCTGGGGACGCAATTCTTGGTAGGGGATTTGTGGAAGTCGATGCTTGATGAGGATGGGGAGGGCGAGTGGCCGAGGGAGTTGTTTGAGGCGGTTGTAGGGAGGGTTTGTGAGACTGGTGATGAAGGGTCGTTGTTGGAGGGGGAATTAAAGTGTAAGTTTCCTGTACCCCGGAAGGCGTGGATTTGACTGGCCGGAGTTGACTCTTTTATCTACTGGTGCAGGGGCTAGTCTTGATAAGGAGCGGTGCGTGCGATGGGTTGGTGAAACCTATTTAGAGGCTGCGGCGCCTACGGCGGCTGCTGCTGTTGGACGTAGCGAGTTTCTCAACGCCTGGAAGGATCATCTGCCAGAAGGCTGGAGAGAGGAAGCTACGTTTTCGAAGCTTACGGTAGGATATTTCTCTTTCTTCGTCTTTCTTGCTCTACTCTAACAGTGTGTACAGGAGGATAAGCATAGATTCCCTGATCCAACGACTGTCTGCTTTGTCAGTGATGAGGATCGGCAGAAACTAAAGAAGAATCTCTCGACAGATGCTAGTGCGTCTACCGCTGCGAAAAAGACAAGAAACTGGCATGAATTGTTCAAGAACCAGAAGCGACAGAAGCGTTGAGGCTCTAATTCTAGAGGCATTATGAAGTTAATCAGGGTGGAAGCAGGTGTCTCTCAGCACCAGGCGTATTTCTCGTTCAAGTGCCATTCCACGTTTGCACCCAAGCCGTGCTCGGCACCAGTCCATCTCAGGCACGCAATGCTGCTCTTCTCCCGGTGGACTACTTCAGCCTTGGGGTCCAGCAAGGCAACTGCTTTTTTCAATAGCGGCGTTGGGTTCCAGAACTCAACTGTTGCCATGTTCCATCTGCACGCTTCGAGCTGAGCACGTCGCAGGACCGCCGCCATGGCTTTCACGATCTTCTCGCTTTGCTCTGGTGAGGTTGGCTCATCGTACACCCACCGGAGGATGTACAAGGTATTCTCCTCGGGCGTTTCACCAAAGTTCCTGTTCCAGGCACAGTACACCCCGGCACTGTCTTCTCCAGCACCCTTTGCGCGAGGTAATTCTCGGTCGGGATGAATCCTCTCCGCATAGAACTCTTCTCTTGCCCAATGCCATTCGAAGTGTTCGAAGTTCGGCGCAATCGCAATCCTGGGCACTGATGACTTTTGAGAGGCAGCTCTCAACAGTTCACGCTCCTTTTGCAAAACCTCCCCACTACATATGCTCTCGTGAACGTCCTCCGGTGCCAAAATCCTTGTTTTCGGGAGGTTGGCCTGGGCATTGGCAGAGGCATAAACTTCCTCGGAAATGGGCGACAAGGCAAAATGGCATGACGTGTATGGCTGCCAACCAAATTGAGCATAAAAGTCCTTTCCGATATCAGAGAAGAGAACTGTAAAAAGGCAACTCTTTCGAGTTTCTGTCTCCATCTTCCAGGTCTCGATCTTCTTGCTCAGCTCCTGCATCATTCGCTTGGCGTATCCTTTGCCTCTGAAGTCTGGCCGGCAATAGACACTTCCAATGCCATGAGTTGCGACGTCCTCCACAATACCGTCATGTGCCAACATGGCTTTCTTTCGGTATGTTTCGCAAGAACCGAGGATCGTTCTATGCTCTTCCGGCTCTTTGCGATCAACCAAGATCCAACAGGTCAAGCCATCCTTATTCAGCCGTTGCTGATACAGATGATTCTCGCGCGTGATATACGTCTCAAGGTCCAGACGGCCCTTCCATGCTCTGCTGTTGAGACGGATGGACTCGATCCGCTCCCCGGGGGTGGCAGGAACCAGCACCAGGTCAGGAGAATCCCCTTGAGGGAGCTCCTTGCCGTTGAAATAGGAGTTGTCAGCAGCGATCATGATGTCTACTTGGTAGAGCAGAGGGGTTCGTGCTTGTTGTCTGATGGAGGAACTTGGATATGAGGGTGAAAGCGATTCCAGTGAAGAAAAGTGGTAAAAGGACTACACGGCGCGTTCAGAGAAAGCAAAAGTTTAGAGCAAAGGAGCAACTCCGAAGGTGTTTGACCGGAGTCCGCGCAAGACCGCAAGGGGGGCACCGAATATAATAGATGGACCGATAAGGATAAGAAAGTACTAGACGTGCCCGGGATCACTTACTGGACGGGCAGGCAGCTGATACTATTCGCCCCGACAGCCGACGACAAGCGGCGACAAGCGCAGCGGTAAAAGAAGCTGAGGGATGGACTTGCCTGGATTGGGTTGCGTCTCATGCCCCGTGACGTCGAGCGGCGCATGATGACCACACACTTCCTTAGGGCATAGGGCTCGCCTGATGGGGGGAATCTTGGTCTGGGGTTCGGGGACTACCGGGGTTAGATTGAATTGATGCCGTGGAATATACTGGGCTACAATCTATTTTGGATCGAGTTGTCTAAGAATGATCAATTTGCCCGGAACTTGATATTAACTTTCTCGTTCTGTTGAATGCCCGTGATGAGTCAGTCAAATTGTTTAACTTTCCCCCCCTTTGTAGGCAATTGACAGACAAGACAGTTCCCCTACTGGGCAGGCGGTCGGAGAGTACCGGTACCTGTCACGTGGGGCAGCTGTCAGACCCGGCGGGGGTTTGTTCTCTGGATCCCCCCAACCATCTCTCCCACTCGAGGAATCCCCGTTCAGTCTCTCGCAATTGCTGCTGCTCCGTCTGGATGGTGGCGGCTGCTTTCTTATTTCTCCGTCTAGCGTCACGGGCTGAGACGCCTCCTCCGTTTACTTGCCTGATCGGTGTCTTAGTCTACGGCTTACAACGGAACTACCCCCGTTGTAGATAGGATTGTCCCCAGCATTGTTGACGGACTTCTGCCCCACTGCGTGTGTGCCAACCTTGGGCCTGTTGATACTATTCCCCGTTGGGTGACCAGGCATTCGGATGATCAACCGCTAGACAATATCTCTCCATTCACCAACATTTCCTATACAAATTTAGCGACCTGGTAGCAGGATAGCGCCTTGCAAACACTCAGAGGCTGTGGGCTGGTTTCCTCAGCCTTGCTTGGGTGGTGGCCTCGGACGAGCCTGATCCTCACTTGAGTAGGTTCACTGACAGCCTTTGTGTATCATCCATTCATGCTTGTCAGGTGTACACAAGACAATAAGCTAAGCTCGCCTTGGCTGTACGCTTATTGCTCTGCAAACAGCCGCACGCCGTTCAGACTGATAGAGCATAGATAGCCTCATCACATTACTTTCACTGCCTCGAGCGATATACGGCTGTTGCCGACGTTCCTCAACTACTGCGGGGTCTGCCTCTCCAGGCAACGCTTCATTTAACATCTTCACCACTATTGCCTTCCCCTAATAAAAACCAACCACAGCTAACTAGCGGCCCTCAATTTCAATTTACTTTTGTTATCAGCTCTGATCCTTTGGTTCACCTTGGATTCCGTTTCAGAAACTTTCAAACGTAGGAATATAACGCTTTTTCTTTTCGCTCAAAGCAACAAGAACAATGGAGGGGCCCAATTTCACCAATCCCTTGTATTCTGCGCTTCCTATAAGAATGGGATATATGGACCATGCAAATGCAGATCTCACTCTGGATGACAATCCTGCGCTGCTTTGGGATTTGTACGACCACGGTTTCTATCCTTTGCCTGACTATGACCAACCAATGAAGAAACAAAGGCAGATTAGTCGCGACAGCAGTCGCAGCAGCAAAAGCAGCAACAGTCATGAATCCATAATCAACATCCTGGACAGTGATAGTGATGATCACACTCGTCTTGAGTCAGGGATCGAGTCAGGGGCCTCCTCGCGCCCAACAACCAAATCGCTCTCATCATCGACCATTGCCACCATGTCAACCTCATCACGCTCCAATACGCACTCTGAAGCAGTGTACATCGATCTCACTTTGGACGATGAATTATTGTGGCAGATCACAGACATCTTTCCGGGCATCAGTCACCAGCATGTGGAAGAGCTGATCGAACTTCATAAGAAGTCCCCAGAGCACCAACCTGCGCAGCCCCTAGATTCATTGAAGGAAAGTGTTATTGAAGATATCCTACGGCATCCTAGCTATCCTAAGCAGGAAAAGGCCAAGAAACGTAAGATTGAGGACACAGACGAAGAAGCTACGATACGGTATTTGCGAGATATACCACAACGAGGTAGTCGTGCATACGTCCAACTAGCGTAAGTGCACCGCCTATAATTATGAAATCCTAAACGCTGACCTTCTACTTTAGAACCAATTTGTTAGCCCAAGAATTTGGGTGGATGCCGATGAAACATATTCGGGATGTTCTGGCAGAGAAAAAAGAGCTCTTTGCCGCGTATCTCACTCTGCATTCTCAAGAAAATGAACAGACGGGAAAGTACACAAAGCTTAAAAGCAAAAGATTTTCGAATGTACCAAATCCGGGCAAAGAGGCTGATGAGGTATCTATTGCTGAGAACCTGGCTCGCGAACTAGGAGCCGCCAAGAAGAAAGCTGAAAAGGAGGACGGTAAGTGATTTCTCTCTGATAACAAGGGATACATACTGATCCTCACTCTCCTGCAAAGATGTTCTTCGCAAAAAGAAGGAAAAGCAAGAGGCGGAGATCAAAAACGAAGAAGAGCACAGCCGAGCTGGGAACCTCATCGAATGCCAGTGTTGCTACCTCGATGTTCCAGCGAACCGATCACTTCCTTGTGAGGGTGATAGCGTCCATCTCTTCTGCTTTGCGTGCATACGAAAGTCTGCGGAGACTCAAATTGGGCTTATGAGATATCAAGTCCAATGTGTCGACACCAGTGGCTGTCAGGCAAAGTTTTCTCGCGCGCGGCTACAAGAAGCTATCGGCGAGAGTTTGATGGAAAAGCTCGACCGCCTTCAGCAGCAAGATGAGATCCAGCAAGCTGAGCTGGAAGGCCTTGAATCTTGTCCGTTCTGTGAATTCAAAGCCATCTATCCGCCCGTGGAAGAGGACCGCGAGTTCGTATGCAAAAACCCTGAGTGCGAAATAGTCAGTTGTCGTCTCTGCCAGCAGGAAAGCCATATCCCGCGCACTTGCGCAGAAGCCAACAAAGAGAAGAATCTTCCTCAACGTCACTTAGTCGAAGAGGCAATGAGCGAGGCTCTGATCCGCCCTTGCCCCAAATGCAAAGTGAAGATTGTCAAGGAGATGGGCTGCAACAGGATGATTTGCTCCAAATGCCGGACTGCAATGTGCTACGTTTGCAGACGAGATATTTCCCGAGAGATGTACGAGCATTTCGGGCGTGCTCCGACCCACTGTCCCCTCCATGACAATCCAGCATTACGCTCATTACAAGAGATTGAGAAAGCTCAAAAAGACATTATCGATAGTTTATTGGCACAAAACCCTGATTTAAAGGAGGAGGAGCTGCGAGTCCATGACGCAAAAGACTCGGCCGCGAATATGTCGCACGTCCTTCAAGGTCCTGATAATGGACTCATACGCCATTTAGGGCAAGCGCCAATCCGGCCCAATCATGTGGTGTATCCAGGGCCAGCTATCCCAGTAGGAAGAGCCAATCCCCCAGCCGTTCCTCACCTATTCGATGCACCCGTTGGCATCGAAAATGGCTGGGGTGGACAAGGCTGGCTTCAGAACCCATTAGGACAGCCTAGGAACCCACCAGGACGCCCTGTGCCTACAAACGTCATACAAAGGGGTGTGAACAATCAGGGAAATACTCTTCAAAATCCGGCGAGAAGGGTAGATACCAGACCTCCATGGCGATACTAGTGGTTTCAGCATGAATCCGTCTGGCGCCAACCTCTATCTTGATGGACGATCATTTGCTCCGCTAGGCCTTTGCACCTCGTTTCAGTCCAGAACAAGCGACACACTATGCCCTGGATCGACACGTGTCGATACTGCAGCTCCCATCTTTGGTATACCGACTTCCCTTCCTCTGTCCCAACACAGTTCCTGCTTCCTACCTTCATATCTCATCCAGCATCTAACCAGTTCCCGTATTCGCCTTCCACATGGCTCTCGGTATAACAGCAATTGACTATTCAGCGTTACGCAGAAATGTTCTCTCATATCAGACAAACCCAACAGCGATCATACCCCTGCTTCATCCGAGCATGAAGACAAGACAGACAAGCAGTACCCCGTTATCGATAGAAAACTTACTTGGATGTTGGACTGCATCACATGTCTTGGTTTCCCTACCCAGATGATTGAACCACTGAAGCGATTCCTCTAGCATCTATCTCCATCATCACATTTTCCCCCACCAGCCCATTCCCCCTTCACCCATCCTTAATACTCTACTATTTCCTTCTCTATCATCTCTAATCTCACCACTTCTCTCTTGGTTAAGGTAACTTAGAATGGATATTTGATTCTGAATTTTGGCTTAATTCAATAAATCAATGAATGACTTGCTTATTACTCTTCTCTCTTCATCTACTTCTCAAAAGTAGTCATCGATAAATCCTGCTCTTCTATAATCACAATACCCCCATAGAATCGATATTACGTTTCAAGGCAATCAAATCATGACAAATCAGAGATCACATGTCCTGAACATCTTGGGTATAGTACATGCAAGAAATTGGCGGGGTAAAAATCAGCTGAAATCTGTTAGTATATGTGTATGATGGATACCATATATAGTATCACGTGATATGGCACATATGACCTGAGAACTAGTACTATATGAAATCCACCTATCACCTGTTGCTCAGAATTAGGCTACAGCTACGAACTGCATGAGTAGAGGGATCATATGACTACGAGACGCCCTGGAACGGACCATAAAGGCGATATGGCAACATGAAAAGGAGAAAGAGAAGCGTGAACCAAAAATGAAATCGAGAAGATAGAAGTATTACTATAGAGATTGAGATAATAAAAAGGAACTTCCTACCTATCTGCCTACCGAGTGCCCGGCCTAGTCTACTACTCATCACTATCTCATATCCATAACATCACATCTTATCAGTCATGAGGACGCAAAAGTAACAGCACCAAAAGAAAAAACAGGAATAGCAACATAGGCGATGATGATAAGATGGAAAACGGAGCCCAACAACAAGCGCTGACAACGAGTCAAAAGGAAAGCCACGAAAGCCATGTTTGGTGGAAATCTCAAGGAGAACCAGACAAGACGTTCACAGGATAGGCAGCATAGCACATGACCAACACGCATATATGCCACAATA